CTCGCATTGTCTATGTTTTTTTAATGACGTCAAAAGCGAGAAAATACATATTAAAAATTCTTTCAAAATACGTCAAAATAAAAATATATCCATAAAATAACACTGTAATCGATTAAACAAATTTGTAAGATATTCCGTGCACTCCGCTTTTGTTCTAACAATCAATAATTTGTCGTAAATTAACGTGACATACAATTCATCTTCTTAACTTATTTCTTCGCCTATCTTTATTCAGATTAATTTATAATAAATTATTAATTGTTAGAGTAAAAGGGAAGTGCACGGAATATCTCATAAATTTGTTGAATCGATTGCAAGTGTCACTTTATGGATATATATTTTTATTTTACGTATTTTGCAAGAATTTTTATCATGCATTTTCTCGCTTCTGACGTCATTAAAAAGAGACAGACAATGCGAGAGGCCAGGAGCCTTAAGGATTGGAAAATTGGCCACGTTTGACTTCTTGAACGATCGCGAAGAACCTCAGTATTACTTACGCTTTTTAAGTCACATATTAAATTCTCATGTTTATTTTGAGATCCTCTGATAGGATCGCGAGGAAAGTCGCAGACGTATTGCACGCGGGAACGTTATAGAATTGCTCAATTTGGACGTAATGATGGGAGAAACGTAATTTCCGGTCGTTGTAAAAAAAACAACAAGCGAGCCGGTGGTTTGCGCTTTCTAGCCGGTTGCGAATGCCCCATTATTCGCGGATGACCTGTGCCAAAACGAGGAAAAAAAAGGAGAACGTCCTCCGCGGCTCGAACACTCGGCGTACAGACGGAGAGAGAGAGAGAGAGAGAGAGAGAGAGAGAGAGAGAGAGAGAGAGAGAGGGAGAGAGAGAGAGAAACTAGAAGCGTTCATTCATTTCGTGTCACCCGGAAAAGTTGCGCAACGAGCGAGACCGTGCAACCGAGCGAGCGATCGACCGACCGAACGTCTGCCTTTCGTTTCGAATTGTTACCGGCACGTATGCGAGTTTCCCTTCGTGAATACGAATATCAAGCATCGCGGATGAATTGCCACAGGTAGCGCCGGGACCCAGCCCCAGGCGCGGGTTCGTTGAACTTCGAAACTCCTCTGGGTTTCGCTATCTCACAGACACAAAACTATCGCGTGTCGTTGTCGTCGTCGTCGTTGTGTTGCGAAATGGCGGAATTTTACTTGGACCGCCTGTATCGGATCTCCGCAGTTTGATTTCGCGCAAGGCAGCTCTCGAAATTGCACGTAAGACCCCGGCGTTTCCGTCGCGAACTCTCTTCACGTCCCCCGTTCTGCAAAAGTACAAGAAAGTCGAGCGAAAGGAATATCTCAGGGCTCCGCAAATTTTCTCGCAACTGCAACTGAATTAAAAATCGAATAAAGTAAAGACGAGATTTAATAAAACTTTTAATAGAAGGAGCCAACAACATAAAATTTTGCCGGGAAAATCGAAGGCAGTTAATACGCGAAATTCGAATGATTATTTGTGCAAGCATATGTAAATAAAAAATATTCTGGTGTGAATTGGAGTAATTATACATGGAAAAAAGTGTACCTAACAAAAAATATTTAGTTGTAAGCAAATAGCTGTATCATTCTACATATCTTTATATGATAGTTATGTATATGGTTGATTTGACTTATTTACTTTGGTGTGTCAACTACATCAATGAAGTTGCGTGTGATTTGGTTGTGGCAACCAGAAATTAGTAAGGGGGTCATTTTGCATAGACAAGCTAAATATCGATATAATTGCATTAATCAATGCTATATTGCAAAGCAGCGATGTTAGAAAACAAAAGCAATTCGTTACGCGCACAACTAGAGACATATACATGTGAAAACTGGTTCTGAGTGTATAAATATACATTTGTAGTTGCCGCGTAATGAACCGCGTTTGTATTAACCATGTATTACCACTGCTGCAACATAAGTAACTCAGCCATTGCTCTTTGGTTGCAGCAACCACATAAATAGTTGTTCCGTATTTTACTATTGAATCTGGTTGGCACAATCAGATTTCTGTATGAATCAACTATATTGTTTTTTCCGTGTAGGATTAGCTGGAAGAAAATTATCGGGATCTCTTAATTGATAGAGATATAAAACTACTTATTAAAAAAATAATTATAATTACATTAAATCCAAATAAATCTTTAATGACAAAATAAGTATTGAACGGAATTTTTCTTAAATTTCTATTTGTTTCTAAGAGATTTGAAGATCCAGTTAAATGAAGAAGATATAAATGCACTGAGAGAAAAGACTAATAACAATAACAAACTGCTTTTAGTTACACAAATTCGTTGAATCCTTAGTAACTAATACTAAATATTATAATAATTACCAAATATTTAATAGATCGGGAGTATGACGTAATTGCATTCACAGTAACATCAATTAAATAATTTAATAATTTAATAATAATTTAATAATTAAATATTTAATAATTTAATTATTACTTAATGTTAAATATTTAATATGAAATATATTACAGTTATGAACAGATACTTGATAATTGTTATGAAATTGTTATATCCCATATAATAAAAGATTCAGTAGGTACGAGTTCTATTTTGTTACTAGTATAAGTATATTTTATTGCAGCACAACGAAAAATTCATTCATTTGTAGCTATTACATCGTTTCAATATCTATTATTACAGATAGTTGGTTAAACCTACCAAAAATTTTGTAACTATTACAAAATCGCTTATTTTGCTCAACTATTCAATAAGTTTTATTTACCAAATATATTCTGGAAGCAAATTTTTCTTCTGGCAAATAAATAATTTATTTTACAGAACTAAATTAATTAATAAGTATTGCCATAGCTTTGGCCCGCTATATTTACGTCTACCATTTAGTAATAGTAACCAAATTTTAGTAATATTTACTAAATCCTTCTCTCAGTGTGAACGGACGCGCGTACGTGGCAGAAGAAATCGGCATTTTGTCGACAAGGATTATAGCGTCCTTTTAATTTTTTTCCATTCGACTTGTTTCGGATTTTTTGTTTTTAGCGCAGACGGCGCGGAACGCGCAATTAGCTCGTTAGGAATCAGTCCCACGTACCATTATGTACCGTCTGGTTACGCGCTTAATTACGATCGGATCGGATTTGCGTAAGCGAGCGAGATTATGCGGTTTCGCCATCCAGGAAATTGTGTTTTCGATCGGCTAGAAAAGTATCCAGAGGTTATTAAACCAAGCGGTGCGCGCGACGTCATTCGTCACGTAGCGCGCGACAGTTATCGCGCAGTTTAACCGCGCATTATTACGTGCCATCGTCGCGTATCGGATTAAAGTGCACAAATCTTTTATCACTTCGGTGGCGGAGAATATATGCGGCGTAAATGTGCCGTGGGATGTGCGTCGTATTCGCGAATACGTCGCCGACAAACGTCGCCGTTGCGAAACGCCGCGCTTCTTTTCGCCGCGACTCGTTTTGTGAAATTATTACGAAGGACTGCGCGACATTATGCTGAACGCTGACGCGGCCGCGTTTTTCTGCGCGATTCTCGCGCAGTCATAATCGAATTCGTTAAGGGGATGCTGAAGCTGAAACGACAGAACACTGACATCTTTCTGCAAAGTTTACATCGTATTGGTTACACAGAATTACAAATGCTTTTACGTAATGAAAGTACGTGTACAAATAAATAGGAGCATTGCTCGATATGTGACGAAAACGAAGAAAGAATTTTCATTGTAAAATCTCAAGCTGTCAGTTGGCGTAATATTTGTCTAATCCGAAAATTCTGCATCTTGCATATATTGAAAGTGTGAATGCTCCAAACAGAAAAATTTTGCAGAACATTGTTCTACCTTTGCATTTGCATTTGGAAGCTTAAAAATATCGAAAAAGTTTTCTACACATATATGGTTAGGTTTTCCGTTTGAACGGAAAACCTAACCATATATGTGTAGAAAACTTTTTCGATATTTTTAAGCCGTTAAAACAAAGCAACACACATTCATGTAAATTCTGTATATAAGATAAAGGTCCTAGTGATTGAACGTGTTAATTGAATTAATAATAATATATTTGTGTTTGTTAAGATGCTTATCAATAGATGAAACAAAATCACAAAGTAACTAAATATTTCTTTTCATTTATTATATT